TAAAAATATAGATTATCATCTTTATTTTAGTATAAAAATAAAAAATATTTATTAATAAAATAATAAATTTTAATCAAGTTGGTTTATAATTTTTTCAAAATTTCCTTTTGCAAAATATTTAATATCAATATTAATAAATTTTTTAAATAAAATCAATTTGAAGATAAATTAAATTTTATATATTTTTTTTATTAAATAATTAATATTTTATATTAATTACTTAATTTTATAAAATTCAAAGTAATATATAAAATCTTTATAATAATAATAATTTTTTAATAATTAATGTATTTATTATAATTATAAATTTGTAATAGTAAATTTTCTTATAAAATATTTATTTTTTTTAATTTCTATTAAATTTGTTTTATAACTTCAAAAAAATAGTATCCAATAAAAATAATGGATTTATTTTTATTTGAAATTTATAAACTAATACTTATAAATTTTGTATTACTATCCAAAATAAGTTTAGATATTATAATATATTTATAATATATTTATTTTTTTGTATTTATTTTGTTCTTTTATGTATATCTTCTTGTTTTTATAACTTTTTTAGTTCATATTTGATTTATTTTTGAAGAATTAATTTTTTAGCTTATACTTAACTTGTTTTTAAACATCTATTTTTTTCATAATTTCATCTTTTTTTTACTAACTTGTTCATTTTTTTAATATTTTTAATAATTTATTATTAATAAAAAACTGAACAAATAATAAAATTTCTTTCTTTTTAATAATTAAAATAAAATATTATTAATTAATATATTATAGAAGTTAAAAAATAGAATACTTAAGTACAAATTTCAATAGGCAAATACTAGAATTTTTAAAAATTTCTAGTTTTTTTGCACTAATTAATAATTTCTTTTTGATAATATATTTTTTTGAATAATTTATTTCTCTTTTAAAAGATATAATTTTTTATTACCAGCTCTATTTTTTTAATAATACTAATTTGAGTGAAATATATATAAATTAATTAAAATAATATATTTGATACTGAAAGTACATGTTTAGTTTGCTAAACTTGTTGAGATAGAGTTAAGTTAAATTATTTAATCATTAATAAAGAATCAAAATAATTATAATTAATTATATTATAGTTAAATAATTAGATAAAAGTATAGATTACAATAAATACTGATTCAAGTATATTAAATATATACTTAATTACTAGCTTATCATTATTATTATAAAACTTATTACTATTTTTGCTATATTTCTTTTAAGTTTAGCAAAAGAAATTTCAGATGGTTGGAAAATATGCATAGTATAAAATGAAAGTGTATAGAGCAAAATTCCATGACAAAAATTAATGTTCAAATAATTAATATATTAAAAGAACTGGACAAATACGTGATATAAAATTAATGAAGTATTCGATATATATTTGAAAAAAACTCTCTTTCATGTATTTAAAATTGATAAATTCCATAACACTACCAGCTGGGACTTCTATTAACAAGCCTGAAATTGCACGAGTATCTTTGTAGTTTATTAATAAAGAAATATACTCACCAGCAACAAAAATTGTTGAAGCAACAGAGATATGATCATGTAAGACTTTATAAATCTGGCAAGCACTTTTTACAGCAAGAACCTTCTGAATTTTAGGAGAAAGAACAAAGTCAATTTCATTCATATTAACAGTGAATAAGTACTATTGAATTATTTGGTAAAGCTTTTTTGAAATGATCATTTACAATTATGGTCTGGGACACACGAAAAGATAATCTTTCATAAAATGTAACTACCAGTCCTTACCAGGCTCTTTATTAGTGAATGGATGATTACATTTATTACTTTATATAATTTTCATAACGCAGTGATTTATTCTGATCTCGTTAAGCCAAATTCCAATTTTTGCATATTCTTACAATAATCCACTAATTGTGCTTCTTCTTGATTGTTCAAAACTGTTGCAGGACAGGATGGTTGAGCAAAATGTTATTTTTAACTGCATGTCTAAGAGTTGTCTCTGGAACTCCAAAGCGCATTTACTAAGTTTTGATTGGTTGAGGATATTAAAGGTTAGTGTTAGGGTTAGAACTGGAGGAAAGATTATATGTAAAATTGTCTTCACAACATTTTTTATTAGTGCTTCAAGCCAGGTTTACCCATTCATTTTCAGTATTTTTCACATTATTCGTCTTTTTAATTTTCTTGTGTCGAATTTGTTTTGCCAGATTGATCAAAAATTTATGGGTTGATTTAGAAGACCCGGTGTGCAGCCAACCAATCAGCGATGGAAATTACTTGTATCCAATCAAAACTTGGGGGAATTAGAAATGCCTCCAAAGCTCGTAGCAATTGCACGTACACTGTGATGTTCGGGGTTAGCGAGCATCTTAAGAGCATTTTTAATAGCATTTTAATGAATGATTCAGTCAAATTTTTGGATTTTTGGTTTGGGCTTAGTATTCATTTTTGGCACTAACTTTAGTTTTGGGTTTGGGCTCTTTTTTTGGCTTTGGTCTTTGCAAGTTCATTTTTGGTTTTAGCTACAGTGCAGGACACTTAAAGACGCCAATAAAATTAGTCATCTTTAAAGCAAAGGATCTTTATACAAAGGTTATACAAAAAAAAGGGGGCCGATATTTTGTAGCTAGACCTATTTACTACAAAATAGCGGCCTCCTTTTTTTTGTATAATCTTTGTATAAAGATCCTTTGCTTCAAAGATGACTAATTTTATTGGCGTCTTTAAGTGTCCTGCACTGTAGCATTTTTATTTATTTATTTCGTCAAAGTTAAATACATATAAATATTGCATTTGTACGGTTAATAAAATAATCACGATAATTACGTGACGCGAATTAAGTACAGCCATGTGACTGAAAAGTTTATAAATTGATCAATGGTCACGAAATTCGAGTTTTATATTAATCTGCCATAATACTCCCTTTACCTTATATCTATATTTATTATAACAATTATTTTAAATTTTGAAAAAATAATACAAGACTTGTGGCAACATAAAATACAAGGCTGTTTTAATTGTAAAGTAAAAAATTTTCTCATGCTTTATATATAAAATTTTTTCCCACGCTTTATATATATTTCTATAAATTGTATTTTTGAAAGAATGAACAAGACTTATGCCACTTTTAAATTGAAAAAACTGATTTAATTATAAAATAAACAAAAAAATTTTTATAAATTGGGTGTTACTTTTTTGGGGTACTGTATATGGATGAAAATTTATTTTTGTATTAATGTTAAGCGTTAAAGAATTAATACTCGAAAAACCCATCTTCATTGTCCATTACTACATGTATATGGGTAAGATACATGTATGTAGCATGTACTAATGTAAAAATGACCTCGTACATCTAAATTTCTTTAGCGTTTTGTAAATTGGAATAAAAAACAAATAATATTTATATTTACAAAGTCCTTTGCAATGGCGCTGTATACACCGGATTCGGCTTATACCGTATTGATATCCCGATTTTTACGATTTTTAACTATTTAAAACCTTCCTATATATCGAAGTTTATAATATAGGTGCCAATCCAACACGCGGCCATTGTAAAGAACTTTGACTGTACGTATACTACGCTTCATAATACCTATGGATATCTTTAAGAATAAATTGTTGTGGATCTATTATGTACTTATTATCTCTCACGCAATTGCCAACATCAATGACGATTGATTTTTTACGAAATCATGTCGTGAATGATTTAGAGCAACCAATAAATATTACATAAAAGACACAAGTCTAAAGAATAGATTTTCTCATGAATGATTATTCTAACCATTGTGTTTGCATATACGATATATTATGGATTACATATACGTATGTATCAAAAACAAGTGACTAATAATAGACTAAAATTTCTTTAGATCTGTTCAATCAACTAAACTCTTTAGTAAATAGACAGACAAAAGTTTCTTGCCATTAACGTTAACTACCTTGGATTATTAATCCAGTTATGAATTTTCGATTAGAAATGAAAAGTTCTTGGCTTTCCTTTGTATCGTAAATATAAATGCAAAGTTCATAATTCTTTGATTGACGGATAAATTTCGGCAGTGGAAGCATATCGATATTATCGAATGATCTTAAACGATTGTTATTTTTTTTCCGAGTAACAATCGTAAAATTAATTGCTGTTGTGCTTCTTTGATAGACGCAAAATGAAGCCAAATTCTGATGTAATTAATGCACCGAGAAGTCGTTCGATATTTTTGTACTTGCAATCCGGCAATATCGGTTCTCAATTGTTCCGAGTATTAGTAACACACTATGAGATAATTTGTAATCGACATTTCGCATGCTTTTGCACGAGAAAATTTAGTGAAGTATAAAAAGATGTAGAAGAAACCCCGAAAGTGTAACATTTATGTCAAAGATTATTCAAACTAAAACTGATCAATAAACTACTCAAACAAAAAGATGACATCGCTAAAGTCACTACACCGAAAAATATCCGTGGTATATACAGTAAAAAAACAATCACGTCCTCGTTTCCCGAAGATGACTAATGGAATCATTTTACCACCAAATAAATGGGTGTTACATGATCCTTTTTTGATTTGTACCGAAGATTGGTTTCATTATCCAGGAGGTTTCGATTTTCATCCGCATCGCGGGTTTGAGGTAACAAATTTGTAAAACTTTTAGAATATGGCGTGTGCAAGTTCTTTTCATCACGTATAATTGAAAGGTCGTTTTTAAATTTTAGATCATTACACTAGTTTTCGACGGGTTATTGAGGCACCAGGATTCTAAGGGAAATTGTGGCGTGATTGGTCCAAGTATGTATTATGAGTTTCGGCATTATTTCGTCTATATGCGTTTCTAATTTGATGAATCTTTTATTTTCCATTTTGAATTATTGCCTATAAGAGTAAGTTTTCTAAGTTTCAATCAACATGTCGAAAACGGTTTAATGAATGTTTAAAAATATTTATATTTTTAATCAACAGCGATGTGCAATGGATAAAAACAGGTCGCGGTCTATTACACAGAGAAGTCCCAGCAAACAAGGAAACTCAAATCCATTTAATGCAATTATGGCTCAACTTGCCCAAATCTAACAAGTTTGACGAAGCAACCTATCAAGACTTGTCCAGTGACAAAATTCCAACGCGTATCATAAAATCACTAAATGGTGAAGAAACTTTAGCAAAGATCCGAGTAATATCGGGCAAATCTGGTGACATTACCGGTCCAGCTAAAAATGTCGTACCAATAAAAGCACTCGATATCACAATAAAAAAGCAAGGATTCACACTGGAAGAAGATATTCCATCTAATTATAATATGTTTGCTTTTGTCTTGGAAGGAAGAGGAACATTTGGATTCAATGAGCAAATACTCGGAGGTGGCAATGTTTTGATTAGCCCTCCGGTCTTGGATGACGAGAATACTGCTTCAGTACTACCTATACGAAACGATTCTGAAGAGGATTTGAGGGTTTTTTTGTTTTCTGGCAAACAGATCAAAGAACCAGTGGTTCAACATGGCCCATTTGTAGGCAATGAATGGGGTGATATACTGAAAGCAAAGCAGGATTTCGTTTTAGGAAAATTCGCTGGTCTTTAGATTCTTTTCGTGTATATCTGCAGTAATATCTTTATTGTGTGATAGCGATAGTTACCACTTTGATCTGTAAATCCGGTTTTATCCGGTTTGTAATTCCATTGAACAAAATCTAACGGTTGGTTAACCGGTTTTCCAATCACCGAGTTTTAACAGCATTGGAAACACCGATCCAAGACAGCTTTCGTATTCGCTGAACAAATATATTAGATAACAACAATAATTCAAATAAAAGGAAAATATTCTAACAAGAATGATGACGAGTATAATGAAGTGAATGAGAAATAGTAATAAATGAGAACTACAAAGAAATATTTTTTTGTGTTCGCTGTGGTATTGACAGCTATAATCGTTCTTTTACTTCACACGATCTTTTTTTTTGAAATTTGAAATATTTCATATTCATCTACTCTAAAATTAAGATTTTCCCTAGTGTCATAATACCAGCTCAACTCGTTACATTTGTTGCTGGTAAAAAAATAGAGACTATCATTAGCCTGATAAAGATTGCATGCTATTTGACTTCCCGAGTTGTTGCGTGAAATTTTTGCACTTTGAAGGTCACTTCTATCACCGAAGGAAAATGTAAATGCATCGGGAATATTTAGATTACTACCAATCTCTTCATCCCATTCGCTAGGAATATAGCAGCCAATAATTTTTCCAGTTTGATTTATTTTCACGACTACCACGATTCCCATTCGAGATCCAGAAAGTGCACGGAATTTCGTAGCGTCAAAACCGGCACGGTTACCGCGATAGAAGAGGTTGAATTCATATCGTGGCTTGTAAAATTTGTTAGAAGAACTGGTGCTATCTTTTTTATCGATCCAAGATGAAATTAACTTAATGTGTGTAAAATTAATATTGTTAGAGTCAATTGGGCCTGATCGCGGAGGTAAAAGTTTGATAGGTTGTGGAGTCAAATTGCTAAGATAATAACCCAAAATTTCCATTTTCATATCCTTCGGAATAATTTTCCGATAAGGCACTACCTTTTCGAAGTAATCATTGCTTGAGATATCGCTGTATCGGATCAATGGAATGCATTGGCGAAGAGTCTTTTCTAGAACAACGAAATTTTGAGGCTTCCAATTTGATACAGGTTGGTTGGGTAAATTCAAAGTGTTCCCCGTACCCCATTTGATAATCGAATTCCAGATTTCAATTTCATCCATGATTAGATCATCGCGTTCGAGCAATGACACAAGCACTGATTCTTCCAGAGATAAAAAATCATTAGATTTGAAAATCATATGAGGTTCTTTGTTGATTGTCTTCAAAAAATGTTCGTTTAATCTTTTGAATGATTTGTGAAGCGAAACGGTATGCATAATCTTTACAAGATTTTGTTGAATCCAGGTAAGCTTTTTTGTAATTAGATTATCTTGCGCATGATGAATTAATTCGTGGATTTCTAGTTCATCTGCGGCAACGAGTAAACTTAAGACGTCATGTCCACTTTCTTTATTGAGATCTATCATGCTTGTATATAAGTACCTATATTAACTCATTAAATCAATTAGGTTATTATGAATGGTAAAAATCAAATGAAAATAAAATCATGTACATACTTGAGTATTAGCTCAAAAATTTGCGGTGAAATATTTGGTATCTTAAAAACCATCATTTCACCTTCTTTCTTTGTCCTGCCTTTTGATAAGGCACCATGAAAAGACAGAAAACGTTTCTTTGCCCAGTTTTTTGATAACGCACGACGAAAATACCTAGAACGTGCACGCAGAATGAGAGAGTGCGCTTGAAACTTTTCTGTGTTTCCATTTTCACCTGCGATGATACTGATATTATATTCGTCCGAGTTTTCTAAAAGCTCGCTCAAATCCTTGATAAGGTTTCTTGTAAATTCAGACATGAATTTAATAATGACAATTGTCTTGAAAAATAAACAGCGTGAGAACGAGATATTGTAAATCAGGTGGCATAGAATTTTTTTAAAATTCTGTTTCACTCGATCATATTCTTCAATAATATACCCATAAGTCCGATTGTTTGATCTTTATTAACGCGACGAAAAAATTTCTCTGATATGATATCGAAATTTTTCGGGCGAAAAAATAATTAATTGATAATACGTACCGATACGTACATGAATATATGAGAATCTATACTCAAAATACTCAAATCAGAATTCCTGATGTATTAAAATCTTCCAAATGGCTTGAAAATTTTATTGAGATTTAGGCTATTATTTCATTCATTTAATATAATTTTTATAAGTGTAAAAAGGCGCCTAGTATCCCCTCAGATAGTATCCTCCTTAGTAAAGTAACTCTCTTTCTTTACCAATGAAATTACTGGAACCGTGAATAATATGATGCAATGCACCTAAACTCATCAACGAATTTTATCGTTATGTTCTAAATTCTAACTAGGAAGTAAATAAATCCAATAAAAAGATCTTTTTTAATTCTTTTATTGGATTAAATTTTGTATGGTTCAGGTACAATGTAGAGACAAAATTTTCAGAGCTTATCATAAAGAACAAAGTTACCGGTCAAATTTTGTAAATTTTATTTCTACATTGAGTTGAAAGATTTTAAAAATTGAAACAAATTGTTGAGTCTAGATTACTTGAACCATATGTAAAAGTTTATAGAATTTAGAACATAAATTTGTTGATGAGTTTAGGTACATTGCTCCATACCAGGTACTATGCAAGTTTCTAAGACCAGAGTTTTGTAAAGTACCCGGATACTAGAATCAGTGCTCTATAATAGTTAAATTTAGTGTTCCAACCGGGTCGGGTCCAATCCGTGACCTGACCGGAACGCACAGCCTAAAAATCGTTATTTCTCGTTCAATATTAATTGAAATTAAACGAAAATTTGTGAATATATACACAATTACATTCCGAACAACTTTACTTAAGACACAAGTGTCTTAGCAAAAATAAAAGTTATTAACGAAAAACTATTTTACGATTTTCGGGTCAAACCCGACCCGAACAGAGCTTTAATGTTAGTGCCCATCACAATTTTTGATCTAATAAAATTATAAATTAAAATGCCCAAAATTTATTGAGTCGGTAGAAACCAAGCAAATCACGACTATATTCCATCTATATATTTAATAAATTAGAATTACATTTATCATGAGTTATCACAATTGGCCAAATCTTTATGATCTATTAACTCAACAATTTGGACTTTTCCGATCAAAAAAATACGTAATGTTATAAAGTAGTCAATAAACTATTGATTTATTATTTTGAGAACACTGAAGTTAAGATATAAATTCAATTTATTAAATATTGTTACACATTTTTCACTAATTGGATAATTAGCTAATAAACGCGAACAAGAGTTGGGAGAGATAATTAAACAAATATAAGAAGAATATGAAAATAATATCTAAGTCCTATGCCAATTTCTACTGAAAT